AGAGATAAAACAGTAAAAGATGATGGGACAGAAATCCCAAAACTCTGGGGAGTTGTTATATTGATACCGTTTCTCATGTTTCCTTAAGTTCTCACTCCATTTTAAAGAGAATCAAAGAGGAAGTATGCTTAAAGGATGCATCACAAAAGGTGAGTTGTGCAAGAAAGGCAGCACAGTCCTACAGCTGCAGGGATCACACACTAAAACAAAGGGAAGAGCCAAAGCTGTCAAATGAATGTGTGTTCCTGGTTTCAATTTAAATAAAATGTTTATGGTATACAAGTCATCTCTAGTGGGGGTATTTTTTCTGCTTTATGGAGGTATAATTAAGATACAATAAACTACACATACCCAAAGTAAAGAGGAAATTTTGACAACTGTATGTACCTATGAAACCATCACCACAATCAAGATTATGTACACAAGTCACCCCCACAAGTTTCCTCCCTCCCCTTGGCAGTCTTCCTCTCCCCTCTCCGTTACTATCCCTCCGCCCACCCCAGGCAACCACTGATAGATCGCTATAGATGCATTTGCATTTCCTTTCTTTTTTTTTTGAGGAAGATTAGCTCTGAGCTAACTACTATCAGTCCTCCTCTTTTTGCTGAGGAAGCCTGACCCTGAGCTAACATCCGTGCCCGTCTTCCTCTACTTTATACATGGGACGCCTACCACAGCAAGGCATGCCAAGCGGTGCCATGTCCACACCTGGGATCCAAACCAGCGAACCCCGGGCTGCCAAGAAGCGGAATGTGCAAACTTAACCGTTGTGCCCCTGGGCCAGCGCCCTCCGCATTTGCATTTTCTAAAGTTTTACGTAAATGGAATCACACAGTAGGTACTCTTTTGTCCTCTAGCTTCTCACGTCAGTGTATTTTCAGATTCACCCATGTCGTTGCATGTATCAATGGTTTGCTCCTGTTTATTGCTGAGTAGTATTTTACTGTACAGATATTCCACATTTTGTTCATACATTCTCCTGTTGATGGACATCTGCGTTGTTTCCATTTGGGGCTCTTACAAATAAAGCTGCTATCAACATTCATGAACACGTCTGTGTGGACATGCTTTCACTTCTCTTGGGTGAATACAGAGAAGTGGAGTGACTGGGACAGAGGATACGATGTTTAACTTCTCAAAACCTGCCAAACCATTTCCCATCAGCAGTGTACAAGGGTTTGTTACCCCACACCTTTGCCAGTAATCGGTGTTGTCATTTTCAGTCATCCAATGGGTGTTTAGCAGTATTTTGTTGTGGTTTTAATTTGCTTTCCCTAATGATTATATTGAGTATCTTATCATGTATTTGTCAGTTTTTGGGTTTTTTTGGCAGTGCGTTCAAATATTTTGCCCTTTTAAGTGGGTCATCTAGTCTTCGTATTGATACATTTTGGGAGTTCTTCATATGTCTGGATACAAATCCTCTTCTTCCAGTCTGTGGTTTGTCTTTGTATTCTAACAATGTCTTTTAAGAAGTTCTTAATTTTAATAAAATCCAATTGTATCCATTTTTAGACTTTACATTTAGATCTATGATCCACTGTTTTTAATACGGTGTGAGTCTGGACCCAGGTTTGGTTGGTTGGCTTTTGTATATGGACGTCATATGGATGTTCCAGCTCCACATTACATTATCCTTTCTACCCTGAATTCTCTTTACACCTTTATCAGAAATCAACTAACCATATATGTAAGCGTGGGTCTATTTCTGGACTCCATCCTTCCATTGATCAAGTTCCCTATCTCTATGCCAATTGTAGGAAGCTGTTTTTTAAACTAATTTTTTCGATTTACTGACCAGCTCATGTCTGGGTTTGTCAGAGGGCTTTTACCGTATTCCAATGGTTCAGGAACTTGACACAACAGGAAAGCAGGAGAAAGGACAAGGTAGGAGAGAGACAGGCACAAGAGGTAAGAAAAGGATTAGAAAAAGCAGACACTTCTGAAAAATGGCCTTTCTCAACTCTGCCATCACCAAAGACCACCCCCACCTAATATGACTTAGGCTGTTTTTTGAAAGGCTGTCTATAAGATAAACAGCATTTATTAGGTAATAATTCGTGTTCTCATATACTATTCATCAAAGGCATATGCTACTGCCAGTGTTTCTGAGCAGTGTGAGATAACCAAGGTTGCTCTAACTCCTGCCCAAAGTAAACTGACCTTTTAAGTGTCCTGGGCAATGTTATGGTCTCCATTAAGCTTTCTGACGCAGTCACAATAGCTCCCAGCACTGCCACCATCCGCCTCTCTGCCCAAAGCCTCTCTATTTTTAGAGCCATGGGGTCCTGAATCCTCAAACCCTAGCCTGGGGGCTCACTTGCCTTTTTTTTTTTTTTTTAAAGATTGGCACCTGAGCTAATGACTGTTGCCGATCTTTTTTTTTTTTTTCTGCTTTTTCTGCCCAAATCCTCCCAGTACATAGTTGTATATGCTTTAGTTGTGCGTCCTTCTAGTTGTGGCATGTGGGACGCCGCCTCAGCATGGCCTGACGAGTGGTGCCATGTCCCTGCCCAGGATCCAAACCAGTGAAACCCTGGGCTGCTGAAGAGGAGCCCTCGAACTTAACCACTCAGCCACGGGCCAGCCCAACCTTTACTTATCAACCACCTGCTGTGTCATCAGAGCTTCAAAAAATACGTGATTTGTTAATGTGATGAAAATAAAGTGTAAGGCATTGATTGCCAGTGCCTGGTTTTGCATTAACTTGGATTATCACTAATTATTAGCTCAAGAGATAGCCCCTAAACCATGAAAAATCTTAATTCTCTGAAAGAAACACATAACTAGCACCTTTTCCCCCTAAGGCTGTGTGGAATTCACATAACCATTGATAGGGTTTAGCAACTCAAAAAGTCTGATATACCAGAGCTTTAGTCAAAATAGTGAGAAACTGAAAATGAAACACTCCAAGAGAAACTGTTTGAAGTTAGCCAAAAAGGAAAACCCTGTCCAAATTAGATGGACTGATACCATCAAATCTGACAGCTTGACGTGTCTGAAACCACAAACATCTCCAAGTTAGATCGCAAAGTGAATAAAATGATGGATCCTTAGCATAGACTGTTAAAAATGTCGCCTTACACTTAGGTCTCTTCAAGCAATGATCTCACTTAAAAGGGAACAGATGTCAAAAAATTAATGCATGAAAAATGAAATAAAATACAAAATTATTGGTTTCAAATATTATTTTCCCCTTTTAGAAAAGTGCTGTTTTTTTCCTGTCTAAAACTAGGGGATCCTTTAAAATCTGCTCGTCAACCCTACACACGGGTCCCAGCAGAGCCTCTCAGAAGGACTTCCATTTTAGCGCCTGTGCTGCTGCAGCGAGGGTCACTCTACCTTTTAACCCTACCGTCCTGTCAAAACCAACCCACAGCTTCCTCTCGGCTGAAAACAAAGTGCCCATCCACGGACCTCATTCTGAGCACTAGGAGAGCGAGTCCATCTAACTCCCAGTTAGCCATTAACTATGTGAACTTACTACGCAGATTTAAGTTCCCTGAGCCTCAGTTTGTTTCTAAAATGAGTACAGCAATCAACGCAATTTAACAAACATACTATGTGAATACAACGAAAAATGTGGTCCTTCCTCTAAATTCTGGCATTCCTAAATTCTGATTGTTATGGCTATGACTTTCCCACTTTCAGGTTTCTGAGGAATGTAATTAGAGAGTTCTAAACCTGATTTGAAGGTATGATCTACATTTCCAATCAGTACCTCAGAAGCACTTGGCACGGTGTCCATCCATCACCAGGAAACGGTGCCATGGTGGCCGATTTCATTTGAACACTGACAAATGTACTCAGTGTTGTTCTACTGAACTCCGTAAGACAAAGTGCTGTGTTTATTTTTATTTTTGCTGTCCCTGAGGCTTAGCAATACCAGATGAGGCTTATAAAGTCACCACCACAATGCTAAAGGTTGCCATTAGATGAAAAATATTCTGTAAAACTGTTATTTCAAACAGTACGTCTGGAAAGCGCTTTACTATCTTCACAGATATTTCACAAACATTAGATAAGGTTTATCCCAGGTGTGGTGAGCTGAGAGAACACAAGAACAAAAGCTCAAGACTAGCATTTTAATTCCAAAATTTAACTCTTTACTAGAGAAAACAGCCTACACAATTAGCAATTGCTGCTAAATTTAAGTCAAAACAATAATAAGATTTAAAGACATGGAAACCACTAAGAACAAATAAGATTTTTCTTTCAATAAACTTAATTCCTATCAATCACTGTTTAACTTTGGTTTTTCTCTTTCTACTAAAGTAGGAACTTTACTTTCCTTATAATTACAAAGGAGTTTTGTTGATATAAATTACAGTTGACAGAAATCACAATGTCCTGAGCCCTTAAGCCTTTAAATAAAATAAAATGTATGTGTCAGAGCCTGTAGTAAATAAGTGGCTTTGAATCTACTGGCAGACTGGACACACATCTCCACATCTTACCCCGTGTCTAATGTTTTGTCGATTTCAATCCATTGGCTGAGACTACCTGAAATAAAGGCGACACACAGATTTGAAAGATAAACTGTACTTGATCACAGTGCCTAAAGTCAGCAAGAAGCTTAATTACAACTCAGTTTTCATTTTGGTATAATGAAGCAGCATATAATCAAGTCTCATCATTATGAAAATTGTTATAGGTCTAGGAACCAAAGAAAACACTCGTAGAACAGCATTATCTATCTTTTCAACAGATTCCCCCATAACCAGCACGGTAACTCTGGACTCCCCACAGGGAAGCAGCCTGGTTCCACAGAATGCTCCTCTGGCTCATCTGGCTGCAGGGGGTTTGCAGGGGTACGTCCCCCTCCAGCAGCACGAAAGCTCAGCTTTCATTAGCTGCTGCAGTGACTTTGGAACAGCTGCCTGAATGGTGATCAAAGCCTCAGAAACTCTGCTCTACTATCTTTTTGATCAAACAAGCCCAAGCTCAAAAACCTTGAATCCCAACAAAAAATAAAGTGACACAATAAAGAGAGTACAATGTTAGTTTCTGAAATTTTATTATTTTAATACAGACATTTCACAAACAGAAACCTTCTAACACCACACACAATTCCATAACCAAATGTTTCAATTTTATCAACATTCTTTAACTATTTACACTGTTTTCCCTCCACGAAAGTGCAATCCAAGACATCTCGACAAGAAATCTTTACTGACAAGAATATATTTTTGAGCTGGTTTTAATGACGTCCATCCATTTTCTTTTCTTTCAACTACCCGGAATAATAATAAAGTCAACAGGACATTGAGATGAGCTGGTTTAGGCAGCGTCCTAGCAGAGGAATCAAAACCCCGAAGAGCACTTTCTCCTCAGCTCCTCTCCAACCTCCAACGAAAACGACCAAGGCTGCTACCACGAGACCGAAGAGAAAAGCAAACTGGAGCCACCAACTGGGCTCAGGAGAACAGACGATGTCAAGCACTGGTCTCACAGGACAAAACCAAAGATTTCAGCAAGTCAGTTTCGGTGATCTACTAAGTTATGCATCAGTATATGTTTGTTTCAGGGTTTAAACACCTAATAATATTCTTTCCTGATGCGTTAACTTCCCCCAAACAGATATGAAAATACTTTTTACTCCAAAAACGAACTTCTTTTACAAAAACTGGAAATTAGAGACTATTTTGGGAAAGCTCTTTCTTAATTAGAATGGGATAATTCACCCCACTCCCCACTGTCATGGCCAATGTCTCTCTCTTAAGGGCTAAATCCAGTCTATCAACTGCTTCAGATGCAACCAGAAGAGTGGAGAGCTGAGCTGGTCTAAAGAGAAAATGACAAGACTGTCAGAAAGTCTTCTCACTAAACTAAAGCATATAGTTTTGTTTGTTCAAGTTATGTAACTCCTTAAAATAAATGATAAAAAAAGTTAGAGATGAAAAATCACATTGACATTACTAGTCACTTATGAGTGGTTCATATTATTGAACACTGCTCATCAGAAAATAGATCTCTTGGGTGACTAATATCCAAACCACATCACAAATAATTTTCTTTTTTGACATATTCCAATTCCCATTAAGGTACTCAGAGCTAAGTACTTTGAGAAAACCATGAGGAAAATATTAAGGTCATCAGATTTCCAAAATAAGATTTATTCTTCACATTGTTGCACACTCAACTATATTTTATTCTAAGATCAGCCAAATTATCCCTTTTAGATGAGAATGCAATGCCTTAAAGGCAAAAGATATCCTCAGATATGATACCCAGGTCTCTCCTTTTACATAACTGCAGCATCCAGAGAATCCTAATTTTATCATTAAAATAAAGGCCAAAAGCAAATTTCACCCAATTACAGTGAAATCTCATCATATTTACTTTTCAGGGAATAGCAAACAATACAAGTAGAAAATACTAAACGCATCATACACAACACTCACAGCGGTTTTAGACTGAGGAGCTTGCTGAATGAGATCTTTGTGGAAACTTTAAGTATGAGGACAACAATATTAGCAGGCTTCTCTATAAAAATTTAGGCAGGTTAAAGAACAGCATTACAAATATTTTAATATTCATTTTAAATTCAGAAATAAAATCCTAATGGTACTCTGAAGACAAGAGAAACTTACCAATTTTTATACTTGGGTACATGAGAGAATCAACAGGGAAACAATTCAATTACAGCATTGTGTATTACAGACAAATGTGCAAGGGTCATGTCCATGGAGCTCTTTCAGTTGCATCAAATATTGTCAGACCAATAATGACTGTCTGCTTCTTCCAGGCACTGAGCATTGCCCTCACTGTGAAATATTTTTCAGATCATCAAACACCAAACTAGATGTGGTAAACTGAATTACAACCATCCAAACTGAAAGATGAAGCATATTAGTCAACAATACTGGTTCTTTAGTGCTGTGTTGCTTCAAACAAAACAGCTAACAGTTCATGTAGCAGAACTGAAACTCACGTGCAATAATGCCTAAACACTTCTGAGAGGAAAAACAACTGTTTTTCCGAGAAAAAAAATTACATAAACAAAATGAGCAATATAAAATGTTCACATAACCCCAAATTTGGCTACCCATAATTATATTTGCAGCATTCTTTTGGCACATATGCATATTATACTTGAAATTATCAAATTCATTTTTGAGAAATCATATTCCAACTCCAATTCTATAAGGTATGGGGTGTCAATCTATTAAAATCCTCAAGATCTAATGAACAGAAGGCTGTATTTTGGAAGCCCAATGCTCTGGCTAATACAGTTACATAAATTATCATCTTGTTTCACCAATGGTAACGTACCATGGGGATCTTTAAAATGATCTATTTTCAAACATATTGTTATACATTGCAATCAGTGATTTTCCAAAATGAATACACTTAAAAAGAAAATATTAAAATTATTCTTTTCTTCATATCCTCACAAACAATATTTTCCTTTCCTTCCCAGGGTCAAATCATAAGATTTTGGAAACTCAATATTAAATGGGTAAAATGTGGCTGTGAGCAATTTTGGGGAAGATAACGATGGCAATGACTGTTCTGAAACTCCCCAGTTAGGGTCTGTGCTGTGAGTACTGCCCGGGAGGAGTTCACAGGGCACTTCAACAGTGCAATCTATATAAATCAGTACCGCCCAAATCGAGTCATTCCCGATCTTCCTTAAGAGCTAAGGAGACCAACTTCAGACTCAATTCAAATGACGGGGGTCTGCGCTTTTGCCCTCTTGAGTCAGTGTCACCATTTCCACATTCATTTAGTATATTCTCTCTGTTCTAGGGTGGCTTAGCTACAGATATTTGCAACACCAATAGCTTTCGTATATCTTATAATTTGGATATTATTTTCAGTATGAAAACAGACAAACTACAACAGTGACAGAAACAGCACTCGTGTCCACTCAAATAACCTGTCTGTGAGGGTAAACTGCAGGACAGTGCGTGCGGCCGAACGCCACAACAGGCCAGACTAACACCGTCAGCTCTCCAGGCACAGGCTTACATTCATGTGTCACATGGTTTTCCAAGGCCCAGAGAAGATCTAGAAGTGGGTCTTCAGACGGTTAGCACTTCAGTAAAAGCTTCCTCGCACTCCTACCATGCTCTTAGTTTATAGCCACGTAATCCCTTCCTCAACTCACCCCATCCCCCCATCACCTTCAAAGCTGCCTGAGAGACTGACTCTCAGGGATACCGAACTGCTACCCCAGACTCACAGGGGACCCATTTGGGCTCTGGTCAGGACCACGGACTGACACTCAGGAGTCAAGAGAGGGCAAGGGGCAGCCCCATTTTAGTGGCACACACACAAAGGAACTCTCTGTTAAATTAGAAAAGAAATTAATGTCACAGAATGTTTCCCTATAAAAGATATGTAATAAAGTAATAATATCAATAAAATAGCTATTACTAAAGCAAAGCTTTCATCAATAAGCTTCAAGAACTTTGAAGGAAGAAAATGGCTTCACGAAATGGTAGTCCAGGTTCCCACAGTGTGGACACTGCTGGACGTTGCTGTACTCGGAGAAGTACTGCATCCCGATCCGCACGTCGATCACGGGCTTCCCGCAGTGCTTGCAGTTCAGGCGGGCCTGGGGGAACACGGACACCGTCAGCCACCACCCTTCTGCCCCACAACACTATCAAAGTCACCCCAACCAAAATGCCAGTCTGTCACTTCTGGAGAACTGATAAGAGTTTAGCGAAGAGTCCCCTTTATTACCAAAAACAGGGTATGCAAGGCACAAGATGTACATTCCAGGATGCAGGATGAGTCTGCAAGACTGACAACTCCTAATTTCTCTTCTGATACGTAGCTCCACTAGTAGTTTCATCTACTGGTAAGAAGAAAATTCTAAACTTGTAAACTTCTCCACTAAAGTCCCCCTAACAATTGGAAACCCCTTCCCCCTGGATTTTAAAGAGTGGCTGAAGCTGATGTCCCTCACCCAAACCTGCAGGAAACTTTTTTGAAGATTCTGAGGTTATTTTAAAAATTCATTTTTCACTCTACTCCTTACTACACTTGTGTTTTCTTTGATGTAAAAATAAAATTTGCCTAAAATATTCTAGTAAAATTAATAATCCAGGAAGAAGTGCTATGTTTACCCTGAGGCTTCTGGACCCACTAGCAGATTCTATCTTCATTCATGCCTGGCCTTTCTCTCACAGCACAATATTAAGCTTGGAGCAATAAGCCCCAAGACTGAAGTAAATAACCAGAAATTATAAATACAGCAGACTCTCAATTTAGATTCATTCTAAAAATGTATTGGGAAGTATAATCCCATTTCGTCCTCAAAACACTCCTCTGAGGTAGGCAGTAGCATGTGACTTTTAGATGATGAAACTGAGGCACCTGGTGAGAAAGGAGCATGCCCAAGACCACAGGTCAGGAAGCAGAAAGGCTGCAATTTGGACCAAAGGAGATTCCCCAGGGCCAAACTCAGTTATTGCATGGACAACCTTTCTGTAACTGGAAAGAAACATCCTTTAACAGACTGATCTTTCTGAGCAAAGCTCTCTCTTTATCCTGTTATTCGTTTCTCCTAACTAACGACTGGTTATTGTAGACTCTTCTTATTCCTTGGTGGTGTCTAACCCTAACCCTACACAGTGAATATAGTTAAATGACTTTTTTTTTAAAACTAAACAGTAATCAAATATGTTTTCCATTTCAGTAGAGGATCAGAAAATAAAGGTCTGGGCTTTAACTGTTTTAAGGAAGAAATATACAGTATGGCAATAGGCTGAGTGTGGCAGGACGACATTCTGCTTTCCTACCTAAAGACAGCAAATAATCCCACCATCTGTCAGTGCCGTAGCAGAAAGAACACCAGACTGGGAGGCAACAGGCTTTACTCATGGCTGTGACACATCTGTGTGGACATGGTAAACACTGCAATGATTTAGGCCTCTGTTGTACGTGGGAAATAAGGAGCTGGACTAGATCTCCAGGGCCTTTCTGGTGCTCACAGTCTATAAGGGACAGACCCAAACATTCTCCTACTTCCTCATTTCTCTAAAAGATAACTGTTTGTGGTGTGTGTGCAAAGGGAGGGAACCATTTCGTTTCATTTCTCTCATCTCAAGAGCTGGCATTAAGGGACAGTGCATATTATAAAATGCTCCAGTGAGGGGGCTGGCCCCATGGCCGAGTGGTTAAGTTTGCATGCTTCGCTTCAGCAGCCCAGGGTTTCATCGGTTTGGATCCTGGGCGTGGACACGGCACCACTCATCAGGCCATGCTGAGGCAGTGTCCCACACAGCACAACCAGAAGGACCTACAACTAGAATATACAACTACATACTGGGGGGGCTTTGGGGAGAAGGAGGAGGAAAAGAAAAAAAGGAAGACTGGCAACAGATGTTAGCTCAAGTGCCAATCTAAAGAAAAAGAAAAATGCTACAGTGAGTAACTAAAAGACTATGATATCTCATTTCCAGGGCTAAGTTTAAAAAAGGGAATGTGGTCCATATATTAGAACAGCATAAAAGTTGTCAATCCTATAGCATTAAACGGCAGGCTACGAAGGACCACTGCAGGGTCTCGGGGCCATAATCCTCTTCTGAGATCATTAATATAGACGAAATAGAGCTGAAATACTGACTCTGCCCACCTTTTAATTCAACCGACAGTTATCTTCTGAATAAACTGCTAATAGAAGGATATTCTCTTTATAAAAGTCAAACCATAATGCTAAAGATACAAAACTGGAGTAACTAATGAAGTGTTTGTCAGTTACTTATATTAAAAGCCGGGCTTGGTCACTAAAGAGTGAAGGGAAATCTCTCTCTTACCCATGAAAATCAGGGAATTACAGAACAAGTGATTTCCTTTCCCCAAGCCGTGGAAATAAACCGAGACATTTCCAAGGATTTTGGTTTTTCTCCTGTGTTTCTGTGGACTTATGTGACATGCCTTCTCGCGTCACGCTTCCCTTGCCTCCTGAGGGCAGCTAGCATTCAGAGGCTCTCCTAGCATCGGAGAACGCCTCCTGTCACAGGGATTTGGGGACTGCAGCTCTCTCGCGTCAATCACAAGCACCTCACACGGCAGGCCGTGCTGGGCAATTGCACTGTCCCTCAGAAAGGAAGCAAAAAGAAAATCCTGGCTATTAAAGAAAGTAAAACCTTATTCTTCCCTTTAAATAATAACTTTTTCTTACTAACAACTTAGTATATATTAACCATATAAAACATTAGAAAATATAAGCAAGCAAAAAGAAAACTAAAGGAGCCACTCAGCATCCCTCCATCCAGAAACCAGCTCTGGGAACAGCCTGGCAGGTCCCTTTCATGTCCACTTTTTACAAGCGGAAGCATACTATTACGCCATTTATAACCTAGTTTTTTGACTTAAAATGCTGAAAATAGTTCCAAAATAGTTATACATTCATTATTCTACACTACTTCTTTTTAAGGACTGCATAGTATTCCCATAACAGCTGCACCATCATTGCTAGACCCTGGGGGAGTTTTACGACTGATCCTTACTGCAGCATCTTCTCTGTGCCCTCATCCTCCCCACAGCAGGACCACAGTTCTGCCTCTAGCTCTTCCACACTCACTTGGGGACAGAAGCCAGGGATCACCCACTGCTCATTCCAGGGGGTCAATACCAACCTGACAGCATGGAGAGGCAGCCAGGATGTCATAGGTGTACATGGTGCCCAGCTGGTGCCAGCTGCCGTCCCACCGTGACTTACACTTGATGCAGATGATCTTGTGAACCCCTTCCAGGCAGTCCACGCACACCGCGTACAGGTGCATGAGTCTCCCTGTGCACAGAAGACACACGCTGAGAGTGCTCATCAAGGAAATCACCTTTCGTCTCCAAAGGCAATACAGAAATGGCTCATCTATCAATTCTAAGAAAACATTTTATCATTTGGATAAATACAAAAAGCAAAATAGATGATATTTATCACATATCCCCCACCTATCCTTTTAGAATAATGATGAATTACTAACTATTGTTAACAGGACGTGTACTCTAAGTTCAGTCTTACTAAACAATTCCCTCAGTTCACTTCTCTAACATGAGCAGCCAGGTTTATAGTGGGCGTCCAAGTGGCCAAGCCACAGGAGCTCAAAACCAGCCTGTGAGATGCCGGACTTCTGCTCAGAAGTCTCTGTGTGGTACAGTGAGACTGAAACAGCAATGCTGGTCCGCAGTCACCGGCTCTCAGCCACCGACAAGTCCCATCAAAAAGAAGTCAAAAGTCTGTCTTGGTATTGGTGGCCCAGAATTATACCACAGCCAAAACTACTAGGTTAACTGTCCTGGTCTCTAAAATTGCTCAGCCATTACCACATCTAATTTAGGAGCCAGAATTATAACTTACTTGTAAGTGGTTTTTTAAAAGGAGTTCAATGTCTTGTTATTTACTGCGCTCCTAAAAGTCATAACGCATTCCTCCATTATTTATCAAGATCTAATGCTTGTCAAGGAAAGATGTGTCCCTACTTTATATGGAAGGGTTAGGGTTCAAACAATCGGGAAAGAGTGGGAATGTACAGGATCAGCCTGGGCAATGCGTAACAGCAACAATGCCCTCTGTGCGGAGATCAGGGACCTCCACTGTGCTAACACCGTCGTCAGAACACACACTCCTCAGGGGCTTCTTACTCAGAAGGTGCTGTCCGCTGCCATTCGCCAGGCCATGGCTCTTTACCTTTCAGTGGTAAGGACCAGCCTGCTCCGTACAGTGAAAAGCGGTACACAGTACTTAGAGGGAAATCTTTTATTGCATTTGCTCACAAGACTCTCTCCCCATCCCTGAGGGCAGGAACCATGTCTTATTCATCCTCGTAGGCTGAGTGTCTAGCACAATGGCTGCCACATGGAAAGCACTCCATACTGTATGTTGGATGAATGGATGGGGCATGTTAACAGCCAAAGACACTGGGGGCCTCTATGTCAAAAATGGGATAGGTGACAAGAGCTTCTTGTGGTACTGCCCACCTCTGCTCTAGGGCACTGAAATAAAAAGGTCTCACATGCCAGGCCCACTCAGAGTGGCCGGGTGTGTTTCAGGATGTCAGCCCAAGCATCCAGGAGCCACGGGATTTCCAGGGGCTTCATTTCCTAGACTGACTTGCTGCAAATCTCAAACATTCAAAGACATCTGTGCGCCGGCTAGGAACGGCAGGGGCAGGGACAGACACAGAGTGTCAGGTGTTGGCAGCAATGACCACGACGACGAAGTTGACAGGGAACTCTAACTGTGTGCTTGCCAAGGGTCTGGCACTGTGCTATGAGGCTACGTGAATCCCTTCAGGAACCCTCACAGTAACACTATGCAGGAGGCATTCTTGTTATTCCCATTGCAGCTAGGAGGAACTGAGGCTGAGGGAGCTGGAGTCGCTTGCCCAAGTTGAAAAAGACAGCAAGTACAAAATGCAGACGTAACTTCATGTCTGTCTGACTCTTCACCACCAGGCACACTCATGGGAACTCCTGGCCTGGACTGAGTCTCTAGACTGGTTTCATTACTATTACACAAGGTCCTAAACACAGAGATTTTTAAATTTATAAACTCTAGGGTTGTGAGTTCAAACAAAAAGTAGATTCCCAAGAGAATGGTCACCTGTGGTTCTAAGTGGTAAAGAAGCCTAATAAGAACTTCCCAATTAGATCAATCTTAACAAATTATTAAAACCAAACAAAAACATCTTCTCTGAGGAGGAGTCAGAGAGCAGAGGCTGGAAGTGGAGGCCGGGGAGGCTGTGAGGGGTGGACGGCAGGGCTGGGCGTAACCATCCCCACAGTCCACCACTGGAAGTCACTGGCTGTTCCAGCAGCAATGTGAGCAGCTTCAGCTGGGATGCTGGCCTGGAACACGGCCTTTCTACTGGAGCTGAAAATGCTTTACAGAAAACCTGGCTGGGACACTGTGATGAAAGAAATGATTTATACTGGCTTGCTAGAAAAAAGATTGCATGGACTTCTCTGAGCTGTGGCAATATAAACACTGATGCACGTCAAGGCCCTGCCTGTGGCACGCACTTGTCTGACACTCGATAAAACACTCTGATCTTCAGATTTTATCATCAACAGCTAAACTTCTCGAGACCTCCGCAGTGCATGCCTAACACATCCACTATCTCTTCAGGGATGCATATGCACTTGTGTACACACACAGTTCTCAGGCCCTTCCAACTTTCATCTCTCTCCACCTTCTCCAGCCATCCCTTCAAGATGTGGTCTTGGGCTCCGCCACACACTTCCTTTTCCTTCTCCTCTCCCCCCATTCAGGAGCTCTCCCACTCTCAAGATTTTAACCATCACTGCTATAAAACAGGCTTTCAATGTTCATCCCAAATGCTCATCTCCAACAGCTTGCAAGACACCTCCACACAAAAGTCTCAACATCCTTCAAACCCAACACACATCAATGCCCTCATCTTTTGTGCCCTGAGATTAGGTCCCTTTCCCAACTTTCTCTACTCCTGTTTGTGACAGCATCATTTATCTATCTGGTCTAGAAGCAAGTGAGTCAACAAGGACACATCTCCATCCTGTACAGTCAAGCGGTCCCCAAGGCCGTAATCTTTCCTTTAAAATAATCTCTTGCAGATATTCCCATCTCTCAGTTCCCACTATTATCACACAGCAGTCTCTCACCTCCTTCTGTCTACATTAGGGATGTAAGTCCCAACTCTCTGTACGTAGGTTCCACCCCTTTCAAACAACTTTTCTCCCAAGTAATCATCTGCTTTAAAATGTTTTTAAAACCCTCCAATTCATAAAAAACATGGCAAAGCTCCTTATTATGGCTTGAGAAGACACCCACAGCCTGTTCTCACCTACCCTACTTCTCTTCCACCCTAGAGCTCTGCTCCACCACACGGTTCTCTCACTGTCTCCTGGCTTGTTTGAGCCACCATTCCTTTGCTCACATAGCTCCCTCCCCTCATCAATAAAGACCTGATGTGGCTCGACCTCTGCTTATCAAAATCTAGCCCACCTTTGGACATCTGCCTTCACGTTGCCTCCTTTGACCACCCAGGCCAAAGCGGCCCTTTCCTCTTTGGAAATCGTAGGATACAATTAATGTACATAATAATATCCAGGAGTTACTAATTCTATAGGTGGTACTAGTACTTTGGCCTGACAGTTACATTTGTATAAAAGCATCTTACATCCTAAAATTATAAACTGATGATAGGCAAGGAGTGATAGTACCCTGCACATGTACGAAATTCATAAGTTTGACTGGTTGATGAATAGATTGAATGAAAAGAATTTGTCCATCATGAATAGAAAAAGAACAGCACCACTCTTATGTAGCCGATACCCTTGTACACTCATTCATCTTCACAAAGAATATTTCCAGTCTTACAATGGTGAAGTAAAGGTGTTTCCACCTACTTCCCTTTAAAATGTCCCCAAACAGTATAAAGAACAAAAAACACACAACTCCATCTTTCATGAAACTATGAGGTACCTGCAACCCTGAACCAAAATACGAGGTCAGACATCAGATGGAGGAATGGTAAACGGTTTAGCTCTGAGACTGGACACAAGCACTGGACACAAGGGGAGAGTGAGATGAGGTGCTGAAAGTGAGATGGAGGCAGTACAAGTAACCCTATATTCTATGCAACTTTTCCATCAAGAAGCACAGTCTATCAATCGTCCCCTGAACCTGGGCTAGCTTTACAACTTATTCTGAAGAACAGAATGTGAGAGAAGTGATGCTCCACAGTTCCAAACTTACACCTCTAGAGAGAGAGCATGCAGCTCCCACTCTCAGCCTCTTGCACAGTGTCCTGAGAATGCCATGTGAAAAAGCCCAGCTGGCCTCTAGGAAAATGAAAGACTATGAAGAACAGGAATGAGCCATTCCAGCTGAGGCTCCCAAGGCCAACCAGTCGACCGACTGTTAGACACATGTGAGAGGCCATCCCACAGAACTCTGAGAAATTATAAATCACCACTGTTTGAAACCACTAAGTTTTGGGTGGTTTATCTTATAACAAAGGCTAAGATATAAAGGACTAGGTGAAACTCCAGACAATGAATGAGACCACTCCCTGCACCTTTATAGCTCCCTTTCCCTGCTGAGAAAGGTAAGACAAGAGAGTGCAGCCCTGAAACAAGAACAGGACACTATGAAAAGGAGCTCTTGGAAATAATAAATATACGAGCAGAAAATCTTAAACTCAGTAAAAATACTAAACTGTAAACTCAAGGAAATCTTCCAGAAAGCAGAATAAAGATTAAGAGATGAACAATAGGGCCAATGAATAGTACAGTATATGTATACTATACAATATATATATAATATACAATGTATATGTAAAGTAAAGGATCCCCCCCACCTCAAAAAAAGTATTAATCTAAGAGGTCCAATATCTAACAGTTTCACAGAGTATGAAAATAAAAATGGGAGGAAATCATCAAAGAAATAAATCAGAAGAAAATTTCCCCAAACAGAAGACCCTAAGTATACAGTCATATAGCCAAGCAGGTGCCCTGCACAAAGAATCAAGGAAAAGACCCCCATCATGGTGGAACTTTGGAGGGCTGGGGGAGAGAGACAGTCTCCCAACCCACAGGGGATGGGAGCAGAGCAGGGGACAGGAAAAAGAGTAACATTAGACTCTGCAGCGGTGACACAGGAGGCACTGAGGAAATGCCTTCAAGATTCTAAGAGGAAATTATTTACAACTTGGAACACTAGACCCAGCCAAGTAGCAACCAAGTGTAAAGACAGAGTGAAGACATTATCAGACTTTCAAAGCCTCCAAACATCTACTCCCATGCTCCTTTTCTCAGAAAGCTCCTGGGGATGTTTCTTAACAAATTGAGGAAATAAACCAAGAAAAAAACAAAATATGGGATCTAGGAAACAGAAGATAAAAATCAGGAAAGCAATTCCAGAATTTCTAGAAGGGCAGCTATGGAGCAGCAGGTACTGAGTACACAGGACAGACAGCAGCACAAAGATGAAAGGCTCCATGAAGGAAATTTCTAGGGAAAAAATTCATAAAACGTCTGACAGGTATGTGGGAATGTTTCTGAAAGGTGGTTTGTAGAGATGCTGGAGAGTGAGAACCACCAAAGTTTTGAAAAAGGCTAAGCAAATGAAAATGCGAAGCAATTAACTTTAATGAAATCAAAAGACGTCCCAGAATATACTGTAGTCTATGTAGGAAATACATTCATACTTCTTGGCTCAACACTAAATATTTCCATAGTCAGAATAGTAAAAACATTAAGGATTTAACCAAGAAGTGTGATATATTATCCTGAGAGAAAGGGGAAGATGCAAGAAAGCATAAATAGCCATCCACCTTAAAAGTCAGTTAATAGGTAATATCTAACATTAGAGATGAAGAGAGCAGTTTTGAAATGACTGTAATTTCAAGTAGAAACTTGAAGAATCAGTGAAGATTTGAAAGTGCTTATCTCTGGGAACCAACACAGCAGGGTTGGTGGTAAGAAGACAGGTGGGGATGTATCATTTTTACTACAGGCTTTTTTACCACACTTTTAAAGTTATAAACATGCTATATATCATGTATCCCATCTTTATAAAAATTCAATAGTTTTATAAGAATTGACAGATTTCTCACTTATTCTGACCAACCCCCTGTAATTCAACTTACGGCTGAAACATCCCCAAGTCCTTGAATGTTCCCCACAGCATGCATCAGCTCCCCACACTTCAGCACCAGGGCAATGTCTGAGCTTTCAATAATCCTGCATTTCCCTTTTGCTGCTTATCAAGAAAGTCTCGTCTTTCATAAATTTCAAGATTAACAGCTTGGCCCTCTCTGACCCCTACTTTCTCTCACTCTGTTATGTTTACAAGGATCAAAGGGAATACACAGCTTGCTGGGCATACTGACACAGGTTTCAAAGACAACTATTTTACAGCAAGTGACAGATTTATGCAACTCCTTCTCTATATTTCCTCCCAATTATGGAAAACTATACACCAGGAATCCTCTCTTCAAATTACAGCAGAACAAAAACGTGAAATTACCCACCATGACAAATGTATTTGGTACAGCGACCTCAGTTAAAAACCCCACCACCACCTGCACAACTGCACTGGGCCAAGCTGAAATATTCAAGTGTCACCCAGCACCTGACTAGAACAAAAAGTGCTGGCGGTTAAAATTCAGCCAAAGCAGGGCCATGACGTTTTGTTCGCTATTCGGTTTTTAGCAAACAGAAAGCTGGCAAGGTGAATTAACACCTGTACCTTGAAGGTGACAAGGAACATCGTATTCAATCTCATCGTGTCTCGATGGGCTTAAGAACAGAGTTCCATCCACCAGTGGGAACTGTTCGAATACAGGGAGGGCCCGGTGGCACAGTGCACAGTTCACGACGTTCCTGTGGCTGGCACTGAGGGCCGCCAGGATGAACTTCCGCAGGTCCTCGCCCTGGCCCATCTGGGCGTCGTCCTCCATGCGCACGTGGAACGTGTTCAGCTTGTGCCTAGGGATGTGAGCGAGCAGCTCAGAGAGGTCCAGGCGCCGTAGAAACTGCACAGGTGCGTCAAAGTGGGCCCCCCTGTGAACCGACAACCCAGGCGGATTGTAATCAAAGTGGGCATTCCTGAACACGTGGCCCCCTGCCACCGCCTTCTTGTGTGGCTCCAGGTGGATAGCATTCTTTAAGAATTCCCCAAGGTACCTGGAAGCACGGGGGCCGCTGAAGTGGGCAGGGGAGAGGATGGAGTAGCCAGTGGGTGGCGACTGGCCTGGGGAGGCACAAGGGGAGCGGGCCCCATAGGCCGCGGTGGTACCCACCACCTTCTCTTGGGAGTTCTGCCGGTCCACGGAATGCCGGCGGGGGAGGTCGTGGTTCAGGCCTTTCTGGGGCTTGTTCAGTGGCCTGCACTTTTTTGCCTCCTCCACTGCCTCGCCGGGAGGCCTCCCCGTGTTCTTCTCTGCCCCAGACTTCTTCTTTTTCTCATCTTGCATCCGCTTCACCTGGTACCAGTCTGTGTCCTTCTTCAAGTGGCCCTGTCCACAGCGGCAGGAACAGAAGCGGAAGGCCAGGTCATAGCCCTTCTTTGTCCACATGTTCTGGCGGCACTGCTTCTCATTCCAGCTGCGAGCCCGGCCGATGCAGTTGAACTGGACCAAGATGCTGCTCTCCCACTCGTAGAAACACTGCAAGTGCATCCAGGTACTGTATGGGCACTGCTCATTATTGCACACCACCTTCTGGGAGTCATCCTTCTCCAAGTCGACCGGCCTCCCAAAGCTGCAGATCAGGGGCGTGGCACAAGGCGCTTCTGGAGAGGAACATAAAAAGAGAGATTCAGCACACAGGCTATGGGATTCCAGCTGACACTAAGTCAGAGATCAAAGCCATGATCTTGCATTAACTCATTCATGCCAAAGGTACAATTTTTCTGGTGTCAAGATTTGTGCCACTGGAAAAACACCAGACAGGATTAGACAATATTTACTATTTTTTCAGGTATGATGTTGTGCCAAGAGAATCTATTTTCTGATATTTGTTATCTGCTGAGAAACACACCATGAGCTCTGAAAAGTTCAAATCCCTCACAGTGCAATCAGCTGTACGGCAGTGCTTGAACGGGGTAGCAGGGGCTTTCCTAAGCCGTGGGCGCAGGACAGGCAGGTCCAGGCTCCTTTAAAAATGAATCACCCCAGTGAACTAGGAAGAGCAGGAAGGAACTTAACCAACCAGTTCAGTGGTAGCTCCAAAGGGCCCTCAGAGCCCTTTATCATGGGGTTTAGGTGATCCCGAATACCAGAGAGAAGCTGGTTTATCCCAAATTTTCTTCTAGAATGGTCTGATACCTAATGGCAGGGATCTTTGGTCAAACTACTTGTCAGTCTACACAGAATCACACTGCCAGGTCGTGAAGGAAAAAATCAGAACTCTCCTAAAGCTGTGAGGCTAGAATGCAGGAACACCGAGACATTTCTACCCTATTTAATGATGTGCCCACAGGGCATCCAAAAGGCCAAGCAGGTTCCCAGAAAGGAAGGAAAACTTGTCGACACAAAGTAGAACCCATTTCTTAAGAAGTAAATAGGATTTATGGAGGCTGGGATTCCACTGGATTCCTGTTGCTTCAACGTCCATAACATTTTCAAAACGCTCCTTGGAGGGTGATACAGCTGCCATTTGGGAACCACTGGGCTTGATCACAAAGGTTCCATACGCCGTGCTCAGTTTAGACTTTATCTGTTGTAGCTGAGAAGCTAAATGAGGCCTGTAAGCCATAGAGGCCCTCAGAGTTCTGCTTTAGAAAGTTCACCCTGGTAGCAGCGTGGGACATGAGGCTGCAGGCAGGGAGGCCTGCAGAAATCCGGGAGAGAAATGACCAGTGGCTGAGCTCCAGTGGCAGTGTAAAATGACTCTCAGTGCCGGGGGTGGGTGATGCTGAGGGACAGTGAACATGGGAGGGGCAGGTTTGGACAGAAGACGACTTTGGACAGACTCTATTTTGGACCTGCTGAGTTAGAAGTGCCTGTGCACCACTGAGGTGGAGAAAGACAAGACTGGAGCTCAAGGGAGCCACAAATACAAATGTAGAGCCATAAAGCCAGAGACAGAGGTTAAACCCCTAGACTGATGAGCTAGCTGAAGAGGAATGTGAGGAGCAGAAAAGAATCCCAGGAAGCAACGTTAAAGGGCTGGAGGAGAGGAGTCCTCCACAGAAATCAGTAAGGAGTGAACTGAGAATTCACCAGGAGACAAGTCAGGAGAGAACTGTATCAAGACGGTCAGGAGAAAGCTGTAGAACAGAGGACTGTGAAATGTCCCCAAGTGCCAGGTAAGATCAGCATTTCTCGGCCCCTGCACTGCTGACTTTTTGGGCTAGAAAATTCTGTTGTGGGAGCTGTCTTGTGCACTGTAAGATGTTTAAAATGCCAGTAACACCAACCCCCTCGATAGTGAAACCCAAAAATGTCTCCATACATTGACAGATACCCCTTGGGGGACAGAACTCCTGGTTGGGCACCGCTGGGTAAGATAAAGACTGAAAGGTCCTCCCTAGAGGGAGCAGTGTCCAGTCATGGACACCTCAGCGAGGACCGTCCCCACGGGATGACAGGGACAGTCAGAGGCAGACGGGGAGGAATGGGTGGTGTTAAGAAGGTAGATGCAGTACAGATGACCCTCCAGAAAACTCTTTCCAGAAGTACAACTGCAGAGGGAAGGAAAAAGAACGGGCAGAGTACAAGGGCTGAGACCTGAGCATAGTCCTCGACTGAAGAATGCATGCCAAAACTCAGGGCAGCTTGAAGACGTAGGAGAGAGAACATGCAATGCAATTCCCCAACTCAAAAACCTGCACAACCCCACCACTGCCCACAGAATCACAAATACTACATTCCACCAAATGGAACAGCACAGGTGATGGGACCCTCAGAGTCTTTGCAACTATGAGTGATGACTTTTGTATGTCACAATCATCCCTTTTAGGGTGGGATTCCACGGCCTCAGCAAAATGGCCTTAACCGGCCTGTCCCCCTCCATGCCTTTGATCCCTGTGGCTTCCCCATTACCTCCTGGGAGTCCACAATCCTTAAGCTTCACTTATCCAAACTCCACTCACCTAGTGGAGAAATTCACAGCATGGACTCTGCAACCACATTGCCTGAGTTGGACTCCCAGCAGCCCCACTGATAAGCTGTGTATTCTTAGACAAGTTACTCAGTTTCTCTTTGTGTCAATTTCTTCTGTATAACATGTAGATAACTAACTGACTGTACCTAATATGGTTGCTATAAGGATGAAACACAGCAGGGCCTGGTACATAGAAAGCATGCTCCCCTTCCTCCCACTCCTTCAAAGCCCACCTCCAGACACCAATTTCACCAGGACGCCCTGCAGCATGGTCTGGTCTGAACCTTACTTGAGTCCCCATCGGGTCCCCACCAGTGATGACCCAGGAGAAGACGCCTCTAACTCACATCTTTGTTGCTGACACCACTGGGCCCACCTCCGGTGCTGAATAAAGTTGCATTAGAAAGACACTGGCACATGAAACCCACAAACAACAAGCGGAGCAGAAGGGAGAAAGCGTTGTACTCGAAGACAAAAGGACCTAAGGTACTGAGGCACACGGCAGAGAAGCAGAAAAGGAGAGTGATATGTAAACGCTGAGTAAATTAACGTAGTCACCTGGGCTGTGACATTCAGTGTTCCTTAAAATGTTAATTAGTCAATTAAACAAAGCTCAGCTACTTTTATCTTCAGTCCTTCAGAGGAATGGCCTTGAAAGGAAAGTCTCTGAAATGTAACGGCAATAACCAAAATCATATTAACTCAGGACTAATGAAACCAAATTAAAGAATGGTCTAACTATATCTTTGCAGTCACAATATCCAAAGTTTAAAACTTTAAATGCTGAGATTGATTTGGTATTTCTTTTAAAAGTACGTTCATATTAAAGAAAAGCAGGCTAACAAGGAAAAAATCCTATTTATATCTTTACAAGAAAGCTGTAAATGCATCATTTAACCAATTCTGAGCACTTCCTACGTACCCAGTCGTTGGAGCTGGAAAGATTGGCAAATCGTGCTAAGAGCTCTGATAGAAAGAAATGCGTGCCTGGATCACAGAGCAGGGCGCACAACTCCACATTCCTGGCCTCTGACATCACCCATAATGGGCACAGCCATTCTCACCTGCTCTCTCCCCTCAAGACTCTACAATGAAGAGGTCCCACTCCACCTTGCCAGTCCTGCTAGTTTACATTTCCAGCCACTTTGATGTGGCCTTGTGGTTGGGCCTCAAAAACAAGTACAAAGCCAAGGGCTTGTTTAATACCAAGTAATATGGGCAACAGACACCTCACACTATTACACACCTCCAGCTGGAGGGCGAGGCTTGAGGGAGTCGGCCACTCAGAAACAGGGTAACAAGGCGAGCTGTGGGAACAGGGAGGACTTCTGACAAGGCTTTTACATCTCACGTAGCCTTTGGAGCAGCTGGCAGGCTGGCCTCTACACTCAAAGACATGATGTCCTTCAAGGCCTGCTCAAACTCATCTCTCTCTCTGCTCACCCCCTCCCTCCTGCTGTCCACACTAGAAAGGCAGCTGGGAATAAGGAGCGAGGGGTCTGGGGGCCAGTTCTGCTAGTGACCAGTTATTTGAGACGGAGCAGTTTCCTCATCTGCAAAGAGAGGCTAAAAAGGCTTGCCTTCACATACCTCAAATATATGCGGAAGCACTTTGTAAAGTTCCATAAAAACTCTCCAGGACCTGCTCTACCATAACTTTCTATCTGTGTGCTTAGCTCCCCAACTAAATGCAAGCTGCTCCAATATATTTCCTACATTTTCTATCTAATGTTTTGGACACACAATAGGTATTTAGAAAGTAAACAAATGGATAATGCCATGCCTCTTTTTCAATTTCCTAAGTCTAACAATAAACCAAAACACGTAGGAAGAGATTTTATAATCCAAAAAGACAGCACTGGTGGCGTTCAAAGTCACACCTATAACAAATGAGCAATCCAGTATCACAGAAACGTATTTGCTTCTGAAAGCTGTCCCTCAATATACAAAATCCCCAGCTCCTGAGAACAGCAGTCCCACGAAGGCACACACAGAATACAGACTGATGCAACTCAACCTTTAAGGGGCGCAGGGGGAATCGGAGTCCAGTCACTGGGGGCTTGTGTCCTTCAGGATCTTAGTCTGGGCCGTGATAGCTTGACTAACAAGCAACATGGGAAACCTTCCTTTATGTAGAGTCAGCATTGTTTTGAAAAATATATACAAGCCCTCCGCTGCCTGTTTTACAGCATCATCATGGAACATTCAACACTCAGTTTCTAGTTCTCCCTGCCCAAGTGAGAAGAGTCAGGGCTCCTCTCGTTCTGGGCAACAATCTCAAGCAGTTATCAAGTCTGGATAGCAGGATAACCAGGCTAAGCTGACTTCAGCAGTCTGTCACTCTACCCAGCTTCTCATCCTGTGTCCCTCCTCCCACTGAGGTCTCCACGCTGCCGAACTATTAAAGGGAAGGATCTGACAGGAGTCATTTACAAGGGCTGCCCAACAAACCCAAACCCCTCGAAAAATCCATTCACACTCACAGGAGCCCTGTAAATCAGGCACTGTCACTTTAACTGTGAAAGCACCTGCTTTTTAACTGTGAAATAAAATGTTTTCACCCCTCTTAAAAAACTCCCCAGCAGATAGGGAGTTAGGGAGTCTAGAAGTCATCCCAGGCTTTCTAGGCAAAGCCTCAGGCAGGGCCTGGTCATCTTTTTTTCTTTTTTTTTTTGAGTTAATGAT